ATATAGTTCCTTTGGGTCCTGTTAAATTATGATACAACGAAAAACGATCACCTTAACGCCTAATCTATTCACTATTATGTTTTTTTTTAAATTATTTTTTGCTGTTGTTGGTTTTGATTTTATTAGATATGCTATCTATAGGTACCTATATTAAATTTCTACAGCTATTAGTTAATTTAAATTGTACCACAAATATGATAAAATAAGAAATTCTAGTTTACTAACATTTTGTAAGTGGTAAGGAATTGGAAGTTCCGCTGTATATTCTAAATTTGTCTACGTGTGTGACTCTCCTGAAACTGGCTTTCACAATTTCGGTACCATATCTGAGTATTCAACTCCTCTTCACTTTTTTCCAGTTAGATCCTCTTCCATGATCTGCTACCATCATCACTGAGATTGTTGATATGTCCATATATCACCAGGAATTTTCCCAACAATACTAAAGCATGCACTAATTCGACGACCACTTCTAAAAAAGCAAGGCTCCGACGATCCTAACAATACCGTCAAATATCTGATCTTCACTTTCTTGCCAATATCATCAAACTCATTGTTATCAATCAATTTCAATAGTACATTGAAATTAACAATTTCAGTTTTCTTGCCACCCCTTGCATAGCACCAAGACGTTTCTTTTGAGAGTTCAAAAACAACATCCAAAATGACCTGCCAAACACACACGCCTACTCCAGTTTGTGCGACGGCCGGACTGCTTTCAGTCTGCCGGCCACAATTTTCAAAACAAGGCCTAGCATGATAAAAACAATAAAAACAAAATCTGCATCTTACTTCTGATCAGCACCAAATTTGAAAAGGTCCAAGATACATGTAATATTGTCAATGTGTGAAAAAAGTAAAAAACACGCCAAACACACACGCCTACTCCCCCCCCCCCCCCCCCCCCCCCCCCCCCCCCCCCCCACCACAATGTGAGGGTAAATATTATCGAAAATAAATAATCGAAAATAATAATAATTTTTTTTTAAATGGAAAAAAAATGTTTACCTACTATACATTTATGTCATAGTTAATTTCGTATCCATGTACAAATTTCCATGCGTGCTGAAAAGAAACACCCAGAGCAGACTAGATTGTGATTGCAGCGTGCTTATTCACGTTTCACTCCTTCCTGTTCTCTTCGTTTCTCGGCTCCCCCGTTTAAAACTAAAATAAGCAAATTGTGACGTAGGTTTCTCCACATCCTACTACATTTTCCCTTTAATGCACTTCCCATTTAACCTAATTAATGACATCTACAACATTCTCTAATTTTTAAAATTCAAAAATTTGATTTCTCTTCCAAATAATTTAATATAGACCTACATACCTTTTCAAACCATGTTTATATATTATTCTCTTATTATTCCAGTGTCTTAAACTATGATTTAGATTGTGATTGTGGGATGTAGTTGTGAGTGTGAGTGTAAGTACAAGAGGTTTCCCAACTTGTCCTAAAAAGTCTAAAGTTTCTCTGAACACTTGAAACGTGATGCCGGACATTCCCCAATTCTCCGCCTTTAGGCCTATTTTGATATCTTGATCTTGTGAATCGTTGGACTAAATCGGTATCGGGGATATAGCATTGTGTTCGTCGTCAATTAATATAGAAGAAAATTCAAAATTAGTGGTAAAATAATTGAGCAACCCTTTCGCCCATTGCTGGGTTTGCTACTGAACATACCCTTTAATTTTAACAAAATAATGAATATTATTATGAAGTTTAATTTGCAAGTAAATTTTCTTATAGGTGTATACTGTGTCGTCTTGGCCGTTGGTGATAATACTGAAAACGTTCGCAACGCCCGGCGTTGCATTATTTTTGATGACCAAAGTGACATATCGATCGTAGATGAAAATCCTATAGATCTAGCAGTTAATGGAGAAACGCTTAATTCTCAGGACTCGGACGTATGGATTGCTGGTGATAAGAATGTAAGACTTTCGTAAATGGTAAACATATTATAATATTAATGATGTCGGTGATGATATTGTTGGTGATGACGATAATTACGATGAGATCGTGGTAATAATAAAATAATGCTAATGATGGTGATTGTAAAGTTAATGATAATGTTACTGATAAGTGAGTGCAATAAGGATGATAAAGGTAATGATGATGATCGACTCAGGGAACAGTGATCGAATTAATAGTAATTTCATTTATTTCGTCTTTGGAACACAACATAGGAAGGTACATGATAAACGAACTATTAGTAGGTAGACTGGACGATCAGAAAGTAGAATTATTCTCTAACCCCCTTAAAGCCAGTGTTAAAATAAATTAATTAAAAATAATATATGTACAAATGAATAAAAAGACCAGAAAGTATATACATACGAGTTATATATCACATTCCATTGAGAGCTAAAATATTGCAGCTGTGTTTAAGTGAAGTAAAACTAGGGTGCGCGTTTTAAAGTGAACTAATGAAACGGGGATGCGCTCCCTTTGCTCGCTTACTGTTTGTATGTTAAACGTCGCTATTAGTTTCGGTGTAAAAGAGAACAATTATTCAAGACCATTTAATGACGATGAGCCTACGAAAAGTGTTGTCATTAGGCCCTTACTTAAATATGTAAACATGTAGGACAATGGTTTTTCATAACCTTTGATTATATCTCCCCTAATAGGGGACAACCTACGAACGTCTGAAGTTGTCTATAGACACTTAAGACGTTCTTGGATCACAAATAAATGATTGTGAAATCCAGGAAACGTGACCTATACATCTTTATCCATGTCCGGTTTGTTTAAAATTATACAACTGTTGTTAGCTGACCTGGCAACCAATAATAATGCACTCAAGGCAAGTGCTACAAAAATATTTTATTTACGATATTTTACGATATTTGAAAAATAAATTCATACCGAATACGATGTGTTAATTATATGAATGGTTGAGCGCTAACTCGGTTGTTAAACACCTTACGCTTTGGCGTTCTGTTGTTTAAGTATATATTAGAAGTGGAGTCTACGTATTTGTCGTACAGATACAAAATTACAATTTATCTAACTCAAATTACAAAGCGGTGCATTGAAAAATTTAAAGTTTTTGAAACTGATTCAATAATAGTGAGTCACAACGCACAAATCTAAATGCATGTCCTGGAATAACCTACGGAGGGTTTGAAATTAGCACAAGTATATTATAGATATGGAAGAAAAACAAGCAAATCGTTAACATTATATATTAGATTGATGAATATCTATGGGAAAGCATTAAATATAATATGGTAATGGGAAGCTTTAGTTCTAGAAATAGTATGAAAAAAATTAAGGTGATCAGTGTTGCGAAAATATTGAGAGATATAATGTTCAATATAATGTTATATGTTGGTTTTCTTATACAAATTAGTCTCAGTCAGCAATGAATAAACAACAAGCATAAAGCTACGTTCACATCAAGCCCGGATTCCGGTCCGGAGTCCGGACCGGAATCCGGGCCCGGTTACGAATTCCGGTTGTGCGTTCACATCGCGTCCGGGGAACAAAGCGTCGGGGTCAAAGGAAGCAACCAAGTGGAACGACGTCAACATAGCTAGCTACGGTGATGTCGAGGATGC